TCATGTAGAAGCGCTTAGTTCTGAATAAAGTTAAGGAACAGATCTAGTGGTAAGAGTACTGGCTTGGAAGTTTTAAGACCAGGGTAACATTGCACAAGTTCCTTAATCTCTCTGGGCCTCAGTTTCCTTCTGTGTAAACCTGTATAGGAACTAGGTATTCTTTTAATTCTCCCCCAGTTCCAAATTCCTTATTCTGTCACCATCTTATCTTCACCACTGTGCTGTTGGTCAAATTGTTCCTCTAGCCTGGATTACTTTTCTCTTCCCCTGGATTTATTCAAATCCCACTCATCCTTCAAAGCCCAACTCACGACCCACCTTCCCTGCTCTACTTCCCAGCCCTTAGTCCTATAGCATTTTCAGTCTGTACTGTGTGATGTGAATAATATCTAGTTATAATATATAATAGCATTATGTAGTTATAATATTATACAATAATTGTGTAGACATCAGCACTTTGTTGGATCCATTAGCCTATCAGTGCTGGTACTCCCTCCACTGGTGCTGATGGTGATGATATCATTACCCACCTATAGCTTCTCTTCCTACATGCCTCTTATCTGTGTCCCATGAATCTTCATAGAGGATTACACTACAAGGTGAATGCCTTTCAATATTCCGTAGTTACCACTATGACCAACAAAACAAAACAATAACCACTAAATAATAATATGCTATCCCAAAGTGTTTTCTAATTGTTTCTGGATGTCATCTCCTTGAACTCTCTGAGGACAGGAGATGTTACTCCTTTTGAATCTCCCATGGGCCAATCATAGGATTTCGTACATAATATAGCTTCAGTGAATAGTTATTTATTATAATTATTTTCCTGACTATAGTGGAAATAATATAGGATTTGAAATCAGAGGACTTGAGCTTGAATTTTTGCTCTATCACTACCTTGGCATTGTCACTTACTATTTCAAGGCCTTAGTTCCCTCTAGGACAAGAAGGGAAGTAATTGACTGGGAAGAAAAATCTTTCTATCAAAATATTCTGATAAGAGTTTGAGACCCAAGATATATAGACAACTGACAGAACTGTATAAATCCAAAAGACATCTCCCAACAGAGAAGGGACAAAGGGATATGAACAAATAATTTTCAAAATAAGAATAGCAAACTATTAAAAAAAAAACTTAGTCACTAATCATAAGACAAATGCAAATCCAAACAATCTTGAGATTTTACTTTACAACTGAAGAATTATCAAAGATGACAAAAGATGGGAATAGTCATTGTTGGAAGGGCTGTAGAAAGACAAGCACTCCATATTACAACATAATGCATTTTTGCTAGTTGTGTGAATTGCTACAACCACTCTGGAAAGCAGTTAAGAATTATGCAAATGGATGACTAAAACATCCATAGCTTTCACCCAGAGATTCCACTGCTAGGTATAGACACTAAGAAGGTCAATGACAAAAAAAAATCTCTATATATTTCAAAATGATTATAGCAGCACTTTTGTGGTAGTAAAGACTAGAAAACTAAGTAGATGCCATTGAAAATTATGAACATGATGAATTAGAGAGGCATGGAAAGACTTATATGAACTGATGCAAATTGAAATAAATAGGATAAGGTAAATATACGCAATGACTTCAACAACGTAAATGAAAAAGAACAATCACAAAATAATCAAAGTTGAATATTGCAAAATTATAATGACCAAGCTTGGTCAGAAAGAAGAGATATGAGAAAACATCTCCCCTTACTTCTTTGCATAGGTGAGATTCTACAAATGTGGAACATTGCATATAATATCAGACTTCTTAGGTGTATTGATTTATTTTGCTTCTTTTTTCTCTTCCTTTTTAAAAGTCTTTGTCATAAAGGATAGCTCTCTCAGGAGAGGAAGAGAGAGAAAGAGAGGGATTCAATGGGAAATGTGGATGATATAAGAATAAAAGATATTAATAAAATCTATTTTGAAGAAGACAATATCAAGAAATAACTGCCCAGATGAATAATTCACAAAAGTGAAAAACTGAGACTATTGATACAAGGGAGCACAATTGGAGTATAGAGTTCAGAAGAAAAGCTTAATCCCTCTTCTCACCCATTGTCCACTCTCCCTATACAAATTTCAAGGTGTGGTTCAGGTCCTCATGACTGGGATGACAAAGATGATAGGCAGAAGATGCGTAAGTACACTCAGCACGAGTTGGGGAAAATTGCACTGTGGTTCCTGCCCTAGAGAGGAGAGAACAGCAATGCCCAAAACCCTGGACATTCAGCCTCAGGATCTGGCCTTTTGGGGACAGTGTCAGTTTTAGGTGGCCATCCCTAGAAAGGAAAGTTAAGGACATGTCAACATCCTTGCTTTTAGCAGGAAGTCCTTGAAGCCTTGTGCTATGTGGTTAGCTATTTGGAAAAACAAAGATGAAATTCATTAGCTCCCTAGACTACCCTGACCTAGGAACAGAGCTTGGCTTCTTTTCACTGCTTTGAAAATAGATATGCAAGGGAGGGTGCTCAAGAGGACAGCCATAATGGGAAGAGAGGCAGGAGAAAGGGACAATGGAGGGATTCACAGCTGGAAGAATCTGAGAACTCTCTCTCCTCAGATATGATCGTCTCCCTGGGAGCCCCCAAATTAAAAGGCAAGAATTTCCTCAGTGAGAGAATTTGAGGTGGAGACTTTGAAAAGGCCAGTTTTGTACTCAGGGCACGTGGGTCTCCTCTCTTTAAAAAGCCTTCTGTTCCTTGCCCCATGCCTACCCCAGAGCCTGGTGACACCATCTAGAAGAGGATCTGGTATGACCTTCTGGGCTTAGAGTCAAAGCTTGCCTGTTGTTCAGAAGCTTGAAGAGTAAATATGGCATAAGAGACAATTATTTGAACCTCAACTCAGGAAAACTAGTTTTGGGTCTCCATTTTGCTACTTGCAAACTGTGCGACAGTCAGTAAAACACTTAATCTAAGTTTAAGTTTCTTTCCCTATAAAATGAGGTTAATGATCCTTTCTTCATCACTAGGGGGATTGCATTATATTTTCTTCAACATTTCCTCACTTAGGAGCTTCTTTTTACTAAAGAAAAGAGAATAAATAGGAATGCAATAAAATTGTGCTATATGAATGAAATGGAATATTATTGTGCCAAAAAATGACAAACATGATGATTCAAAGAAACTTGGGAAGACTTGTATGAACTAATGCCAAGTGAAACGAGCAGAACCAGGGGAGAACTTGATACAATGAACACAATAACATAAAAGGAAGTTAGCTTTGAAAGACTGATCAATTCAGTGACCAATCATGACTTCAGAATTCTGTTAATGAAGCATGCTTCCCATCTCTTTTCAGACAGGTGGTGAACTAGAGGTGAAGAATGAGATATACACTACCAAATATGGTTAGCATGTTGATTTTTGTTACTTGCCTATACATATTTGACATGAGAGAGCTTTGAGTTTGGGAAGAGTGGGTTATGGGTAGCAATAGAGATGCAATAATAGAGAAAAAACAGGAGGGAGAGGGGAAAAGGGAGAGGAAAGATGGAGAGGGAAAAAAAGAAACATAAAGAAAACATTAAAAAATACACAGAATGAAACAAAAAGAAATCCACTGGTGTCACAAAAAGGCAATGTGCCACTTACTTGTTAAACTTCATATATATTCTATTAAAAACAAATTGTATGCAACAGAAGCTTGTCATTTCCTATACAAGCCTTTTTTTGTATTTATTTGCATATTGAAATGTTCGTTGATATTTAAATTCATAACAAAAAATTAAAATCAAATCAAACAAAGATAGTCTACATAGTAAAGCTCTGACTTCCAAACTGTGTCTTTCATAGGGTCCATTTTATGGCAAGTGTTTGATAAATGCAGCTTGCATGGGATAGGATTCTCCTCGAGTTCCCCTCCTCCCGGGCAATACTACATTCACCAGTGGTGTTAGCACTGATTTTAATCATCCTTCCCCACCCTCAGCTTAAATTTCCATTTTGAACCTTGCAGCTGGAAAATCCAATCCTGGCTTTTTGACGTTGGATAAAATTAAACTTTACATCAAATTTAACTAGCACTGTTGTGTAGACAGGCTGAAGTCAGCATCCAACCCCAGTGCTGTTCCTAGGCAGACAGACAGAACCCTGGCTTGTAAGCAGACAGTCAAGTCCTGCTCATAAAGCAAACATTATGCATGGATTCATCCATGCGCTACCTCCGGAGACAACTTCAGTGAAAACTCAATTCACTCATCCCCATTCCAAATGCATTGAAAGCTGCCCATGAAAATGAGGCTGCCCTGATTATTTGACATTTATCACAGAATCCAATTCTGGACCTGTATCTACTCCACTGGCCCTGAAAATGTATAGTTAACACTGTCTTGGATCAGGGTTAGGTACAACTGAGTCTTTTTCCCCAATTCCCTATTGAGCTGGGTGCCAGGGATGATGATGCAGTGGAAAGAGTACTGAATTTAGAGTCCTTGGTTTGATACCCACCTTTAGTATGTGTGACCTTGGGCAAGTGATTTCACACCTCCCCCACCCCACCCCTACCTCAGGCCTCAGTTTTGCCATCTGTAAATTGGAGTTAGACTAAAATTCTTCTAAGGTCCCTTCCACACCTAAATCTATGATTGTGTGATGGTGACTGAGGTAACCCAGAGGCTTAAAGTTTACACCTTCATAATCTAACCCCAGAGAGAAAAGTTATGTCTTATAAAGCAAGGAAAAATAATTTGTCTCATTTGGCTTCAAAAGCCAACACTGAGGCTAATGGGTGGAAATTAAAAGAAGACAAATTTTGGCTTAATATGAGGAAGAACTTTTCTAACAGCAAGAGCTAACAGTTAGGCATTTAACAGAGATGCTGTGGAATGTCCTGAGCTCTCTGTCACTGGAAGTTTTTAATCACAGACTACATAACCAACTGCCTGTCAGGGTGCACAGGAGATTCCTACAGGAGAGAAAATTAATCTAGATGATTTCTAAGGTTCCTTTTGTGATTCTAGGATGGTCTGAGTCTATGATTCTATTGCTTACCTAGGTTGGGTCCTTGTCCATGGATGAGGTCCAACACTGAGGCCCAGACCAGCCAGATGCAGATGCATCCCTGGGCTGTCATGGCACTCTGGGCCTGGGGAAAGAGACAGGAGAAGATGGCATCTGTACATTTGTTTTGTGTCATCTCTCAGCCGAAAATCCCACTGCAAGTATGTGAAGCCATCACCTTCTTCAAATTTCATGCCTTGCAGGGTGGTGGGGATATTGACCAATGGCTCCTTTGTTTTACTCCAAAGACTAATCTCCTGGAGGAGGCATAGCCAGCTGAGGAAAGGGTTGCTCTGTTCTGCCTCCAACCATTCTCAAAAGACACCAATGCTTTGAGATATTCTTACCTTTTTGGAGGCTACAGTTGTAGAAGCTAGACTGTCAGGGTCATCTAGATATCAGTTGGTTCCTCTTCCTGTCTCTAGACAAGATGAAAACAATTTCTTTCTTTCTTCTCTTCCTCTCACCCTCTAATTACTAGCACTTTTGTCTGTCTATCCCCAGGCCAAGCACAGACTCACAGATCCCAAAAGGCTAGCCAGCTATCAGGATGTAATCTCCCAGAGAGAGCCTTTTCTTTTCTGCCTCTGCAGAAGAATGGTATAAGGGATGAGTTTTCTAATTATCAGAAAGTCCCATTTATGGTCTTCTATCCCTTAGTGCTAGAGAGGGTTCAATGGGTAAGGGGGAAATTTTTTCCTTTGATACCCATACACCTAGGCTAGGTAAACCCCTGACCTTGCTTGGAGTGGAGATGTGCAAAGGTGAGTGCAAGTCCTGAAGTTGCTGGGTGGGATGGGCAGGAAGAGGATTTAGCAGTTAGAGGCAAACAAGACAACCCACTGAAAGATTCGACAAAAGCACCATAGCTTTCAATAGTGCCTATTTTCAGTGAGTCAACCTTTATAGAGTACGTGCTCATGAACATCCTTGGAATTTCTTCCTCCAGCTTTGAAGGGAATTTGAGTTAGTGACTTCTTGATTATCCATGCATGAAAGAACCCCAGAGTGGGGTTACTGTTATAACTGTGAGAGAGAAGACCTTAATCCTAAAGGCTACAGTTACTCCCAGTCCTAACTATTTAACTGTGAGAATTCAGGACCCTTCACAACCTCATTCACAGTTTCCCTCAATTCACTATCCCCAGAGATCTCTTAGGCTAATCCCAGTCTGTTCCCAAAGTCAAAACCCTCCTGTATCCCTTCCACATGCCCTCAGGAGCCTTGATCTAAGAAATGTGCAGCAGCGTGCTATTGGATTGAATGAGTCTGTGCCAAAGGGGAGTTTTAGTCCCCAAAGACACGCCCCAAGCCTGTTTATAGATTCCCATTATAGTGTGAAGCCCTAAACACTTGACTTCTTTGGAAAATGCTTTGCCTTTAAATGCACTTATATATCTATGATCTCATTTTATCCTCACTAAAGACCTGTCAGATAAGTGCCATTATATCCATTGTACAAACTCAGAAAAGTTATAACAGATACAAAGACCATTCAGAGTTGAAATTGGAACCCAGGCCTCCGGAGTACCTGGGTCCAATGCTTTTCCCAGGGGGTCTACATGGTCTTCAATAAGCAGTCAGCCTTGCTAGTATCAGTTTCCTTTTGGGGCAGTCTTTTCCAAAATTTTACAAAAGTTTACAAAAGTTAAAAAACTCCAGAAATTTAAATGTTATTCCTAACTTGCTGGGCACTTTTTGGTCTCTATGTCAATCTTAGTTGGAACACGCACCCAAAGTTACACACTTATTCTGCCCAGGACAGCCTCTCAGAAGCTAATCTCCCCATCCCACCCCACCCCCACCCAACTCTGCCACCTTGAGAAGGACGCTAAAGTACATGGGAATAGGGTTCCATCACAAACCTTCTCCTTCAAAGAAACTTCCTTGCAGACTCGTCCGAGAGGGAAGAGAAGGAAGATGTGTCATCTACATTCCTGATCTCTGAGAAAGGAGGCAAACTCGAAACCACTGCTGGTCTGGCCCCAGGGGACTTTATGAAAGTCCTTCAGAGCCTGTGACATCACTGCTGAAGCAGAATAGAATACCCATCCCCCTCCCTTCTTGTTTTCCCTCCCCTTCTTTTCTTTTCCTGGACTTTCTCTTCCCTTCTCCTCTCTTCTCCTTTTCCTCTTCTCTTCTCCTTCTTTTTCTTCTCCACATCTGTTTTCTTCTTTCTCTCCTCCCTTCTTTCTGCTCTCCTTTCTCACCCTCTTTCCCCCTCCTTTCTCTTTTCCTCCCTTCTCTCTTTCTCATCCTTTCCCCCTCTTCTCTCTTTCCTTCTCCTTCTCTCTTCCCTTTCCACTTAAGGCAAAGGATGGCAGACTCTGTTTCTCTGAAAGTCTTTAAAATAGAAGCTTTATGAGATGGAGGTAGAGGCTGTTGTCTAAGAACAATATCCAGTTTGAGGAGAATGAAGAAAAAGATCCCAAATTTTAAAAGTAAACAGCATTTTTTCATTTTTGACATTTTTTCCAATTACATGTAAAAACAATTTGGACCATTTTTTTGAGGCATTCACTGTTAAGTGACTTGTCCAGAGTCACACCACTAGTAAGTGTCTGAAAGCACATTTGAACTCAGATCTTCTTGACTTCAGGGCCAGAGCTCTATCCACTGTGCTACCTAACTGCCCCTGAAATTTTAAAAAAATTTTTTAAATTTTAGTGTTTTTTTTTTACTTTTAAAAAACTTTTTAAAAAATAGTTCTAAATTCTCTCCTCTCCCTCTCTCCCACCTCATAGAGAAAGCAAGCAATTTGATATAGATTATACACATGCAGTGGGCAATGACGTGGTACAGTAGATGCAGCTTCAGGCCTGGAGTCAGAAAGTTCAAATCCAACCTCAGACACTTACTAGCTATGTGACCCTGGGCAAGTCACTTAACCCTGTTTGCCTCAGTTTCTTCATCTGCAAAATGAGATGGAGAAGGAAATGGCAAATCACTCCAGTACCTTTGCCAAGAAAACTCCATATGAGGTCATGAAGACATGACTGAAATGACTGAAAATAAATGTGTAGTCATGCAAAACATATTTCCATATTAGTCATTTTGTGAAAGAAAGCACAGAGGAAAAACAAAACAAAACAAGAAAAATAAAGAAAGTTTAAAAAAAGAAGTATTCTTCAATCTGCCTTTGGATTCCATCAGTTCTTCCTCTGGAAGTAGACAGCATTTGTCATCATAAGTGCTTCAGAACTGCCTTAGATCATTGTATTACTGAGCTAAGTCATTCACAGTGGACTATCATATATACATAGTATTGCTGTTACTGTTACACTGTTCTGGTTCTGCTCATTTCATTTTGCATCAGTTCACATAAATCCAGGTTTTTCTGAGAGAATTCTGCTCATCTTTCTTATAGCACAATAGTATTTTATCACAAACATATACCACAACTTGTTCAGCCAATTGATTGGCATCCCCTCAATTCCCAATTCTTTGCCACCACAAAAAAGAGCTGCTATATTGTTGCACAAATAGGTCCATTTCCTTTTTTTTCTTTGTTGGTTTTTTTTAATCTGTTTGGACAATGGCATTTTCAAGACGTTGGAACTCAAACTCTTTGGTAACAGGTCTTTATTAATCACATTATCAAACCTGTTGAGCTCTTCAGAATCATCCTGCCCTCATGAAGCTCTCAAACTGAGACAGAGAGATTCAGGTACAAAAAGATAATACACACAGCAGAATAAAAACTTTAACCAAAACTCCAAACATTTGCACACAGAAAAAAAAAACAACTGTAAAATATGTCCTAAAATAAGAACAAGCTGAAGTCACTCCTCTTCCAGGAAGTCCTTCTTCATGCTAAAATTACATCCTTATTTTTTGAATTTCATTTGGATTTAGAGTTAGAGCATCTGAGTTCTAACACAAGCTCTGACACTTAATACCTGCATTGGGGCAATACTCTGGGCTTCATCTTTCTGACCTATAAAATGAGTGAGTGAAGCTAGATGACCTGTAAGGCTCCTTAGAGTTCTAAATCTATGAGCCTTAATCTCTGTTTCACCAACTTAGCATGACTTGACTCCCCATTGTTTGGCTTCTCAGATATGTGAGGACTTTCTTCTCATTGAGCATTCATTTATTTGTTCAACAAGTATTTTCAAATGGTTATTAAGTGCCAAGCACTGAAGATACAAAAACAAAAAATGAAATAGTCCCTACCTTCAAAGAACTTACCTTCCATTGGAGAAGGATGACAACATGAACATGGGTTAGGAAATGCAAAGTATGTTGAAAATAGTTTTTGAAAAATAGTTTTGAAAGTAGTTGAAAATAGCATATTCTTTGTATGCAAAATATATAAAAAGTAGTTTTGGGAAAAGGGTACAAGCAATTGGACAAGGAAAATCAGTATAGGCAACTATACTGATTTGAGGGAAACTTGGGATACAACCAGACAGAGGTAAATGGGTGACAGCCTGAGCATAGACATGGAGACAGGAAATAAAAGCAGACTGTGAACTCCTCTAAGGCAGAAAGTATCTACCTTGTGTCATCCCCACAGCATAGAGCAATGGGACATGTGCTGTTGTTGTTTGGTGTTCGATTTTGTTTTTTTCTTTTTCTTTTTTTTAATATGGAACGCTTCACGAATCTGCGTGTCATCCTTGTGCAGAGGCCATGCTAATCTTCTCTGTATCGCTCCAATTTTAGTATATGTGCTGCTGAAGCAAGCACTTGGTCTTCGATTTTGAAGAAGACCAATAACATCACAACATCGGGTATGGTGTGTTTGGCTGTGGCTGACCAGACCAACACAAGCTCGGAAGGTACTATCACAGATTGGGTATAAGTAGTCCATTAGAACATTTAGAGTGGAAGTAGCTCTGGATTTGTGCAGCTCATGTTTCCTTTGTGCTTGCACAATTTTGTTTTGCTCATGGAGTACAGCACCTTCTTGATATGAGCATGCCATGGTGAGTGGTCCTGTGCCAGCATTTCCCATGTCTCACAGTCAATATTAAAGTTCTTTGTAGATACCTTAAGAATGTCGTTCTGACTTCTTCTGGCCACCATGTGAGCACTTACTTTGTGTGAGTTCTCCATCTTTTGGTAAGTGTGAATTTGAAT